GCCACTGTAGCACAATCATGGAAGCAGAGTCTGGCTTTAGCAAGTTTTCTAGAAACAAATGAATATGAATTTATAGTCGTGTAGCCCTCCAGAGTCCATAGAGGATTTTCAGGTACCTCCTCTCCCTTGTTTGCTGTTCACTGTAAACTTGAAGCAGAAAGAGCAAATGTGAAGATCCATGCCCACATCATTGATGTGTTCATTACATGAATGTGCCTTTGTTTGGGAAGACACTGATCCCACTGTCCTAACCACTCAAGCATCCTTCATCAATGTATACCAAATCAGTAAATAAACCTGTACTAAAGGCCTACCCTGAGAAAACACATAAGATTGTCTTTGGCTCTAATTCCTGAGCTCCTGAGACAAAGTGGCAAGAGTGGGTGAATTGCTGCAGAGGAGTTTGCAGCAGGTGGTTTTAATGGCTTAGTGGGATGGCAGTGGCTGTGGGCTATCTGTAAGGTGAATAGTGCACTGGCTGGAGCAGGTGCAAAGTTTGCAGAATTTGATGGGTTTTGCCTTGGGCAAGAGGTTAGGCTACTGGGAGACAGAACTGTTGCAGCAATAAATAGGTGGCAGCAGCTGCAGAAAGCAGGGACTGATTGGGTAGGAGATACAATATTCTGTTTGCCTCCTTTTCATCCCATTGGTGAGGGAGAGTTCTAGGGGTCTGGGGATGGCTGACCTCACAATACTTGACATTGGACCTATGAGACCAACAGCAGCTTTTTCTTTCTTTCTTTCTTTCTTTCTTTTTTTAATTTTATTTATTTATTTTTAAATGTTTTTTATTTATTTCTAGGAGAGAGAGAGAGAGACAGCGTGAGCAGGGGAGGGTCAGAGAGAGAGGGAGTCACAGACTGAAACAGGCTCCAGGCTCTGAGCTGGCAGTCAGCACAGAGCCCGACGCGGGGCTCGAACCCACGAACCGCGAGATCATGACCTAAGAGAAAGTCTGACGCTTAACCGATTAAGCCACCCAGGCGCCCCTAACAGCAGCTTTTTAATCACATATAATCATAGCCCAGGAAAAGAGGACACCAAACATCATATGGGGCCACATTAAGTCAGGTTAATGAAAGACAGAACTGTTGCAGTAGCATAGAAGGCAGCCACAGCTGCAGGGAGCAGGAGCAGGTTGGGTAGAAATTATAAAAATAAAAGATTCAAGCTATATTGTAGATATCTCAACCTGCTACTGCAAAGCTTATGCAGGGGTGCCTGGGTGGCTCAGTTGGTTAAGTATCTGACTTCAGCTCAGGTCATGATCTCATGGCCTGTGAGTTCAAGCCCCACGTTAGGCTCTGTGCTGACAGCTCAGAGCCTGGAGCCTGCTTCATATCCTGCCTCCCTCTCTCTCTGCCCCTACCCTGCTCGTTCTCTCTCTCTCTCTCTCTCCCTCTCTCAAAAATAAACATTTAAAAAAATTTTAAAGCCTATGCAAGCTACTTTTTAACTAATTTTTGTTCACTTGTTATTCAGTGTTCTGTGGTTGAAAAAGTCTTCTCATTTTTGTGTTATGGAACTTGCAAGTTCAGGAGAGATATTAAAATGGCTCAAATTTATCCCATCATCAGGGTGGGACTATTCTTAAATTATCTTAAATGTAAGGATGTACTTTGTTTTTATTTTGTTCTATACTAAAAAGACACTTAAGACAAACATTCACTATTCTATATTTCTGTGAAATCATTTTTGGAATATTCTTCCCTTATATAAGCTAATAAAAATCCCTCATACTAATGATTGGTACAGGGTTGGTTTTTTGTTTTTTGTTTTTTTTTGTTTTGTTTTTGCCTTTTGTATCTTAAACTGTGGTGTTTATACTTAACATTTATTTTTTTTAACTTTTTAAGTATATAGTTCAGTGTCATTAAGTACATTTATAATGTGGTGCTGTCATCACCACTATCCATTTTCAGAACTTTTTCATCATCCTAAAGAAACACTCTGTACCCATTAGATAATAACTCCTTTTTTTAAAGTGTTTTATTCATTTCTGAGAGAGAGAGAGAGACAATGCGAGCAGGGGAGGGTCAGAGAGAGAGGGAGACACAGAATCGGAAGCAGGTTCCAGGCTCTGACCTAGCTGTCAGCACAGAGCCCGACACAGGGCTCGAATCCACAAACCGTGAGATCATGACCTGAGCCAAAGTCGGACACTTAACTGACTGAGCTACCCAGGTGCCCCTAGATAATAACTCCTTAATTTCCACTTCCCCAACTTCTAGTAAGATTGATTTTTTTTATGCATGTGAAGTAGTCTTGTCTTTGTAACTAGGTTTTTAAGTGTCTTGAGAGCAGGCAGATAACACAACTTAAATGTCTTTGTGCCTTTGAGACTGCCCAGCTTAGGGATGAACACAGATTGAGTGCTCATTACACCTGTTTGGTGGTGGACAGGATGCTGGAGGAAGAACCAAATAGCACTTGCAGAGATCTTGAGACTAACAATTTTGTGGGTGTAGGACCACTCTCATCAAGGTAAAAAATTCAGGAAATTCAGAAAGTCATAGAATGTTGGAGGCATCTTACAATGTTGACAGATGCCATAAAGTTAACATTAATATGTGAATCAGTGGACACAGGAGTGGTGGGTACTGAGGTTGAATAGGAAAAAGCTTGCCCTGCCTAAAGGTATTTAAATTCAGATTTTATAAAACATTTAGCCAAACATTCCAACAATGTTGGATTCAAGCAAAGAACCTACAAGTTTGTAGCCTTTAATCAAAAGTTTTATTTCTTATTTCCATCCATGTTGCTACACATGGCCAGATTTCATTGTTTCTCATTGCCATGTAGTATTCCATGGTATAGATAAACCACATCTTCTTGATCCATTCATCTGTTGATGGACACTTAGGCTCTTTCCACGTTTTAGCTATTGTGGAGAGTGCTGCTATGAACATTGGGGTACACGTGCTCCTATGCCTCAGCATTTCTGTATCCCTTGGGTAAATTCCTAGCAGTGCTATTGCTGGGTCATAAGGGAGTTCTATTGTTAGTTTCCTGAGGAACCTCCACACTGTTTTCCAGAGGGGCTGTACCAGTTTACATTCCCACCAACAGTGTAGGAGGGTGCCCGTTTCTCCACATCCTCGCCAGCATCTAGAGTTCTCTGATTTGCTCATTTTAGCCACTCTGACTGGCGTGAGGTGAAATAAGTCAGGCAGAGAAGGACAAATATCATATGTTTGCACGTATAGGAGGATTAGGAGGAACTTGACGGAGGAACAAGGGGGAGAAGAAGGGCGGAAATGGTGGGGGAAAGGGAGAGAGGCAAACCATGAGAGACTCTTGAATGCTGACAAAAACTGAGGACTGATGGAAGTGGTGGGGAGGGGGGGATGGGCATGGAGGAGGGCACTTTGGGGATGAGCACTGAGTGTTATGTAGAAACTAATTTGACAATAAACTATTTGTAAAAAAAAAAATAAATAAATAAAAGTTTTACCAATGACCCATCTCCATGAATAGGCAGGATGCTATAAGATCTGTAGAGGCTGTTCTAGAAAATCAAGCACCAGAAGTGCGCCCCAATTATGTGCCTCTTGGAAGGCAGTATTTACAGTCTTTTCCCACCCATCCAAAGCTTAACCATAGACTGGGAGGAATCCTTCTTTTAACTCTCAGAAAGATATTTTTTTTCTTTTAATGTTTATTTACTTATTTTTTACAGATAGTTTATTGTCAAGTTGGTTTCCATATACACCTGGGTGTTATATCAGAAAGGTATTTTAATAGACAGAAGCTAGGGGCGCCTGGGTGGCTCAATTGATTGAGCATTGGAATCTTGATTTTGGCTTGGGTCATAATTCCAGTGTTGTGGGACTGAGCCCTTGGGCTCTGTGCTGAGCATGGAGCCTGCTTAAGATTCTCTGTTTGTCTCTCTCCCTCCCTCTCTCCCCATCCCTCACTCTACCCTCTTCCCCCTCTTGTACACACTGTCTCTCTAAAGTAAGTTAAAAAAAAAATACAACAGCTATATCCTTTCCTTGACACATCAGACATGATCCTCTTCTTGAACCTCTTAATACTATCAATTGCCTATAATATCAAAATCCTCACTTCCTAACACTTAACAAGATAATGGATGTCCTATCCTCTTTTTTTTTAAATAGTTTATTGTCAAGTTGGTTTCCATATAACATCCAGTGCTCATCCCCACAAGTGCCCTTCTCAATGCCCATCACCCCCTTTCCCCTCTCCCCCATAATCATCAGTCCTCCATTTGTTCTCAACATTCAAGAGTCTCTCATGGTTTGCCTCCTTCCCTCTCCCCCACTATTTCCCCCCTTCTTCTCCCCCATAGTCCTCCGTTAAGTTCCTCCTAATCCTCCTATACATGCAAACACATGGTATTTGTCCTTCTCTGCCTGACTTATTTTGCTCAGCATAACACCCTCTAGTTCCATCCATGTTGCGAAAAATGGCCAGATTTCATTCTTTCTCATTGCCATGTATTATGTGTATTTTTTATTTATCTTCCCAGTACAGGTGATGTAGTTTATGGAGTTATTCTGACCTAACCACGATCTCTCTTATAGTATAGGGCATGCAGTATACATAAAGATTCACTTATCTAAGGATAGATGCCATATTGTTGTCTCTTTTTTAAAGTTTATTTATTTATTTTGAGAGAGAGAGAGAGAGAGCACACACACACATGCACACGAGTGGAAGAGGGGCAGAAAGAGAGAATCTTAAGCAGGTTCCAGGCTTGACAGCACAGAATCTGACATGGAGCTCGAACTCACCAATGAGGTCATGACCTGAGCCAAAATCAAGGATGCTTAACTGACTGAGTCACCCAGGCACCCCACCAGATTGTTGTCTTAAGGAGAGAAGTAGCCATTGGGTTAGAAGGAATAGAGCATCAAAATATATACTGTCCATGACGCTGGCACCTCTAGGCCCAGGTTCTGCAACTCCTTCAGAGACAACCAGACACCCTCATCTGAACAGTGAATCACATGAGCTTCTCCTAGACATATAAATACCTGTGATGCTCTGCATGCCTTTTGAAATAGGAGAGCTTTGTGATGTAGTCTGGTGATCTGGTTCCATCTTCTGTGAGGCAGAGATGACAAGGTCTAGAATTTGGGGGCATTAGGTGCCAAGTCCTTGAAAGCCTAGGAAGAGAGATGGCTAGTGAGGTTTAGATTATGTTGAGCCCTACCTTTCTTCTGTGGGATGGTGGATATCCCTTATATACTTATGGCTCCATTATTATTATTGCATTAATTATTTGGCAAGTGAAAAAGAGCCACCAAGTATTAAGGTTGGGACATAACAGGAGCTGTTGCCGGGTAGGGAAACACAACGACCATGAGTGAATCGATTAAGCCTCAAAAAAGATTTTATCTCCTTGCTTTCTCCTGTGACCCTTACCCCTACTTTTTTACAGGGTTTCCTCAATGGATCCCAGAACAGCTCCAAGTTTGGGTGATTCTTCTGGTTGGGATACATTGAGGGCCTGGATGGCTAAAATCCTTTGGCTACTGGACTTCTTATTCTTTAATCTCTTCCTCTTTTCTCCTGTTTCATTCCAACCTCCCCCAAGAGAACTTGTTCAGAGAATGGGGGTGGAGGTATGGAATATGGAAGAGCCTCAAAATAAATTAGAAATAAGAGAAGGGAAATGATGGAGTGAAAAAGACAGAGTAGGGAAAAGAATGGTAGGAGAGTGTATAAAATTGGAATACAAAAAACGTTTGGGAAATATTTACAGGTTTTGTTCCATTTTAGACACAAAGAATAAAGGTGCCCAGCTTAATACTCTAACTTTTTTGTTTTCAAGCGTCACCGGAGAGTCAAACAAAGAGCTAAAGATAGAACATCAAGAGGTAAAGTCCTAGTTTTCCCTGTGACTACCCTCACTACAGACAAGATTCCCCTGATTCGTGTCCCCTGGTGCCAGGAGCCAGGTGCTCTAACCACTGAAGGCTCTAATCGCCTCAGTTGACAAATTCTCCCAGATTTTCTTGAATGCGAAATCAGAACCTGGGAATGTTTCCAAATTCTCCACCTTATCCCAGCTCCTGGGAATGAAGAATGAGGAAGTAGGACAGAAGCCCTTACTATTTTTTTTTATCCTGTGGAAATCACTTCATCTCTTAGTCAATGTCATTTACTAGTTTTATGACTATGGAAATCACTTCATCTCTCAGTCTGTGATACATGAAATGGGTCCTGTCTCACTCACAGTGTGGTTTTGATGATCAAATGAGATTAGGTCTAGGAAACCATGATGCAACTGGTTAAATTATACACAGACATGCCTTAGAGCATTGACTATTGGGGTTTTGAGTATCCGTTTACTCAAAGGCCTTCAGCTTCCTATAGGATGTCCCTTCAACTTCCTATAGGACATTGCTGTATCCTCTTATTCCTTCTAATACTGTCTCCTGGTTTCTCAGCTAGGAGACTCTCCCGGAAAGAAGCTGAAAAGCCATGGGAGCTGCTCTCTGTCATGAAAAGGTGACCACTTGCTCTTTGCAGTCTCCAAACCCCCAGCCTGGCCTGTGATGATTTCTATGCTTGGCCTGGAGCAGGGATGAGGAGAAGGATAATGGCTGGGTGGGAGTCAGACACAAGTGGATGCTGAACACAGTTGAGAGGGTTGCCAGGGCAGAGGAGGGATCAGGTATCTCAGGAGAGAGGAATCTCCCAGTTCTGCTATGGGTTCAGTTCACAGCGGTCCTGGAATTCAGGATTCACTAGTATGTAATTCACTAAAGACTCTACATGAGTTTCCACTCAGCCATAAGACAAGTTATCCAGTCAAGAGAATAGACAAATGTATGCATAAATAGATGCACACTGTCATATTCCCTTTACAGTTACAGTCATTCAAGGGCAGACCTGTGGAACCTGTTGAAATTACCTCCATGGTCTTGTCTTCAGGGAGGCCAGTTCTTGGGACAGCCCTTAGGAAAGAGCCTGTCATCTTATCCTCTTCTTAAAGTCTCTAGAGAATGGGATTGGCTCTCAAGAGATGCTATGTACAGGAGCTGGGACACCCCATAGTCCCTGAATGCATAGTTCCCACAAAGACCTCATTTTCCACAGCTTAGAAATACTGAATAGTGGCCTTCTTAACCCCAAAGGAGACTGATTCCAGGATATACCTGGTCATGTTCCCAGTGATGCCCCATCAGCTAACCATTGGCTTCCCCTCCACCCCCCACCTGTGTCCCTTCTTCTGGTTCAGCTTCTCAACACAGGTCAACAGAGAACTCATCCCACCTCCCAGTCTGTCATGGCCCTGTATTCCCACAGGCTGTCTGAGACCTTGTCCAACAAGGTCCAGACCCTCAGCCCAGCCCAACATAACTTATCAATGGCATTTTCCTTGGAGGAAGAGGAGATGGGTAAACACCCTGGGGGCACAGGCCCCAAGGTTTCAGGACTGGGGGAGGGCAGGCCCAATCTCCAGGCCATACACATTCAAAGAGGCAGGTGTCACTCCATCAGTAATGGTTGCTTCTTCCCTTCCTAGCCAGGGCTGGCTTCCTAAGGAGGGAAGTGTGCGGCGGCTCCTGTGTGCAGATTCTTCCTGCCCCATCTGCAATGCTGTGGCTCTGGAGATTCAGCAGTTGTTGGCGGGTGAGAACACCCTGATCTCTCCCCCTTCATCGGGGCCATCTCAAGCCTCCTCTTGCCTAGAGATTTTGTCTATGTCTAGTCCCTCTTTGGAGCAGAGTCAAGGTTCCCTGCACTCCAAAGATCTTTCACTTCCATCTGTAACGCCCACAATGTCACAGTTAACGGACCAGAAATGCTTACCACAGTCAGCTGCCCAGTCAGTCAGTGTCAGCATCCCAGATCACCAGGTTGAACGCCTCCAGCGAAAGAAGGGATTTCAAGTGCCAGATGTTCCCTGGCATGCAGGAGTTCTGTCTTCTTCAAGCCTTGAGGAGCCTAGGGCTCCTGTGATTCAGCAGGACAAGAGGAAGAGCCGCTCCGAAGGTGTACTAAAGAAACAAGGTCAGCTGCCCTTGAATATCTGATTCTCTCTTTTCCTGAATCCAGAGCTCATGAACCTAAAACACCCCATTGCCTTACATGTTCCTATTTCCCAAAAGCTCTGAGACATGTTTCTAAATGCATGTTTATAAAGACATGTAAGATCCTTAGAAGAATTCCTGTGGCAGCTTATAACACAGCCCCAAGTATTTCCCAAACCGGGGGGGCAGGGGAGGCACATTTATTTCATCGTAAATGCTACCTCTAAGGCCTCTAATTGAAAATATGGGCTATCTTCTTGAGCTGGGTTCATGAAAGTTGAGCCAGTCTACCCAAACTTTCTGGGTTATTGATGGATCCACTGTGAATCCAGAGCAAATATCACTGCAAGCAAATCCCAAACTCCATTGCTCTGGCTCTACCACATTTCAGTCTCTAAGTGGTCTCTGCCCATTGCCTTGAGGACCTGCTGAGGCCTCGATGTGCTATCTGCAGCAAAAACATAGCTTCCTTGCTATGGTTCCTCTTTTCTGCACATTGAGTCCCTGGTCTGCCTGTAAAGATTTCTTCACAAAAGGGGGTCCCCAGTCCCTTTTTTAAAAATACTTTCTTCTTAATCTCTGTACTGACTAAACTTTCTTCCATTTAAGTTAGCCCCACCTTCTTCCCACATTCCCCAATTTGAGCCTCTCTATCTGACTATCAACAAACTTCTATCAATATCCCATTTCCTCTCCTGGCCAAGGGTGAAGCCTTAGAGTGGCACCAGCTGCAAAGGCAGCCCCAGCTTCAGTGGCGGTCGCCAGCTTTTGCCCAGGAATCTCTGTAGATGCAAAGAACCATACAACATAAGCCATGAGACATGCTTCTTTCTGCCTGTGCCTAGGGGCCTACCAGTTAGGAGAAGCCCATTTCAGTCTTCAAGAGGGAAATGGTATTTCCCTAGAACATGCCCAGAGCTGCTAGAGTTCTACCTTGAGAAGTGGTTGATTTAGTAGGTTGATTCACCGTTGCTGGGGCCTGCCCCAGAAGATCCAGAAGTTCATCCAGCTGCTCCTGTCCCCTGCTGACCAGCAACCCCTGCTCCAGAGCAGCACACTGACCAGTGTGAGTGTCCCCTAGCTTGCAGACCTAGAGGCCAGTGGGGACAGTGACCTGTTATGATCCATTGTGGCAGCAGGGACAGTCTACAGTTGCTTGGCCAAGCTAAGGCAATCTTGCAGAGCTACATTTACTATAAGTGTGGGAAGAACTGCTAGGGCATTGTTCCTGTCCATATTTGCAGCTGTTGGAATGCAAATCATTGGGTCTGCCGCATTCCAAGGGTCCTGGCAGCAACTTGATTCCCTTGTGCCCCCAGAAAGCAAGTCCCTAGACATGGGGGTAGCAATCAGCCTCTACATGGATCAGGAAGAGACATCCTTAATACTGATAGGCCTTGACCAGCAGCAACAAGCCTCACCTGATGCTGTCACTGATCATCCTGATCAGCACCCCCCTGGGTATCTTCCCAAGGAGCCGCTAAGAAACTGGAGACAAGTTTTGGCCTTCCTGTCAGGGCTTCCAGCTCTTTATTATGTGGGTTTCTTCAGGGCCATGCCCCTGGCAATCACTAGCCAATTTGCAGTCACAGAGATGTGCCTGGGCCTGTTGAGGGCCCAGTAGAACCTGTGGTTCACTATCACCTAAACAGAAATGTATAACTCCTGGATCAGGCTTTCCAGATGCCAATGAGACTTGTGCAGACAGCTTGTAGGCATTTGAGACTGAAGTATAGGTGAATTGAGATAGTGCCTTTAGAGAGCCGGACATCCTGCTGGCCCCTGTTCATTCAAGATACCCATCTTGGTGAAACTAAATTTTTAACTGAAAAAGAAATTTCCTGGAGATATATTTGGGAAGTCTTACAAAGACAAAGGAGTCCAGGGAAAAAGTTGTGGCTGTCCCAAGGAATATCTGTGCCTAGGAGTCCTTTAGGAGTCTAAACCACTGAGGAGGGGTGCCTGAGTGGCTCAGTCAGTTAAGTGTCCAACTTTGGCTCAGGTCATGATCTCACAGTTTGTGAGTTCAAGCCCTGTGTTGGGCTCTGTGCTGACAGCTCAGAGCCTGGAGCCTACTTCAGATTCTGTGTCTCCCTCTCTCTCTCTGCCCCTTCCCACTTGTACTCTCTCTCTCAAAAATAAATAAAACATTTTTAAAAATTCAAACAATGAAGGAAAAACACTGCTCTAGGATCTCCTCATCCCACCAGGTATTCCATGTGCTCCAGAATGGTCCACCTTAAAGAAGAGCTTGCAGTTAAACTAAGGAAGTGTAAGGGAACCAAAAGCATGCTAGTTCTTATGGTTATGCCCACTGGGCCTCCAAGATCTTACAACCCAGTGGGGACATGACAGGGGTCCAGGTGCTTTGTGTTCCCCTGGAGGCCAGTGTGAACAACCTTGGCCTGGAGGAACCCTGGAAGACTTTGCCCCTGCAAGGGTGAGGACAACTCCCTGCCAAGCAGAGAAAACAGAGGACCCAGGAAAACTTAAAGCACCAGAGAATCACAAACAAGGGAGTGCAGCATTGAGGCTGTCCCAAAGTGAATAAAACATTTACTCTGCTGAGGTTCAGGGGTTAGGGGGACTCTTATAAATAGACTCCTCAGACCTCCGGACTTCCCAAATATATCTCCATGATCTTTACTTTTTTTAATTTATTTTTAACATTTATTCACTTTTGACACAGAGAGCAAGGAGGGGAGGGGTAGAGAGACAGGGAGATACAGAATCCCAAGCAGGATCCAGGCTCTTAGCTGTCAGCACAGAGTCTCTCTCAGAGCCTGATGCAGGGCCCCGGCCCACAAACCGTGAGATCATGACCTGAGCCTAAGCTGGATGCTCAACTGACTGAGCCACCCAGGTGCCCCTCTCCAGGATATTTCTTAAGTAAAATTTTAATTAGATCAGGATGGTTCCCTTGAGTGAGTTGGAACTAGCAAGGATCTGTCTGGGTCTGCAGAGCCACCATTTCCATCCTCTCAGCTGATTGATTCCTGTCAGCACCTTCACCAGTTTCTTCCTCACTGTTAGTTCCTAGAGCATCCCATAAGATACCTTGGGTCAAAAGGCCATATGAGAATGGTCTGTACAGCTGTTAAAGCAAATTGAATGACCTCACCCAAACAAAGATTCCTCAGAATGCCAAAACTGGAGTGACCAGAGTTTAATGGGCCAGACCTTACATGACCAACTTATTGGGAAATTATTTCTGGGCCAAATTTACAAGCCCAGCATTTATTTATTTATTTATTTGTTTGTTTGTTTATTTATTTTTTGGTTTTGGTTTTATTTTTAATTTGGACATCTATTGAAATGATTTTCTTTTTTTTTTTATGAGTACTTTTAATTTTCTTTTTTTTCTTTTTTTTTTTTTTACAAATAGTTTATTGTCAAATTATTTTCCACATAACACTCAGTGCTCATCCCCAAAGTGCCCTCCTGCATGCCCATCCCCCCTCCCCCCCAATCCATCAGTCCTCAGTTTTTGTCAGCATTCAAGAGTCTCTCATGGTTTGCCTCTTTCCTTTTCCCCCATCATTTCCGCCCTTCTTCTCCCCCATGGTCCTTCGTTAAGTTCCTCCTAATCCTCCTATACGTGCAAACATATGATATTTGTCCTTCTCTGCCTGACTTATTTCGCTCAGCATAACACCCTCAAGGTCCATCCATGTTGCTACACATGGCCAGATTTCATTGTTTCTCATTGCCATGTAGTATTCCATGGTATAGATAAACCACATCTTCTTGATCCATTCATCTGTTGATGGACACTTAGGCTCTTTCCATGTTTTAGCTATTGTGGAGAGTGCTGCTATGAACATTGGGGTACATGTGCTCCTATGCCTCAGCATTTCTGTATCCCTTGGGTAAATTCCTAGCAGTGCTATTGCTGGGTCATAAGGGAGTTCTATTGTTAGTTTCCTGAGGAACCTCCACACTGTTTTCCAGAGGGGCTGTACCAGTTTACATTCCCACCAACAGTGTAGGAGGGTGCCCGTTTCTCCACATCCTCGCCAGCATCTAGAGTTCTCTGATTTGCTCATTTTAGCCACTCTGACTGGCGTGAGGTGGTATCTCAGTGTGGTTTTGATTTGTATTTCCCTGATGAGGAGGGATGCTGAGCATCGTTTCATGTGTCTGTTGGCCATCTGGATGTCCTCTTTGGAGAAGTGTCTGTTCATGTCTTCTGCCCATTTCTTCACTGGGTTGTTTGTTTTTCGGGCGTGTAGTTTGGTGAGTTCCTTATAGATTCTGGATATTAACCCTTTATCTGATATGTCATTTGCAACTATCTTTTCCCATTCCGTTGGTTGCCTATTAATTTTCTGGGTTGTTTCCTTGGCTGTGCAGAAGCTTTTAATCTTGATGAGGTCCCAACAGTTTATTTTTGCTCTTGATTCCCTTGCTTTTGGGGATGTGTCAAGTAAGAAGTTGCTGCGGTGGAGGTCAAGGAGGTTGTTTCCTGCTTTCTCCTCTAGGGTGTTGATAGTTTCCTGTCTCACGTTCAGGTCCTTTATCCATTTTGAGTTGATTTTTGTGCATGGTGTGAGAAAATGATCTAGTTTCATTCTTCTGCATGTTGCTGTCCAGTTCTCCCAACACCATCTGTTAAAAAGGCTGTCTTTTTTCCATTGGATATTCTTTCCTGCTTTGTCAAAGATCAGTTGGCTGTATACTTTTGGGTCCACTTCTGAGTTCTCAATTCTGTTCCATTGGTCTATGTGTCTGTTTTTGTGCCAATACCATACTGTCTTGAGGATGACAGCTTTGTAGTAGAGGCTGAAGTCTGGGATGGTGATACCTCCCGTTTTGGTTTTATTTTTCAGTATTACTTTGGCTATTCGGGGTCTTTTGTGGTTCCATACAAATTTTTGGATAGTTTGTTCTAGTTTTGAGAAGTATGCTGGTGCAATTTTGATTGGAATTGCATTGAATGTGTAGAGTGCTTTAGGTAGTAATGACATCTTAACTATATTTATTCTTCCTATCCATGAGCATGGAATGTTTTTCCATTTCTTTGTGTCTTCTTCAATTTCCTTCATAAGTTTTCTATAGTTTTCATCATACAGATCTCTTGTATCCTTGGTTAGGTTTATTCCGAGGTATTTTATGGTTTTTTGTGCAATTGTGAATGGGATCAGTTTCTTGATTTCTCTTTCTGTTGCTTCATTATTGGTGTATAAAAATGCAACCGATTTCTGTACGTTGATTTTGTACCCTGCAACTTGGCTGAATTCTTGGATCAGTTCTAGTAGGCTTCTGGTGGAGTCTGTCGGGTTTTCTATGTAGAGTATCATGTCATCTGCGAAGAGTGAAAGTTTGACTTCCTCTTTGCCAATTCTGATGCCTTTGATTTCCTTTTGTTGTCTGATGGCTGATGCTAGGACTTCCAGCACTATGTTAAACAACAGTGGTGAGAGTGGACATCCCTGTCGTGTTCCTGATCTCAGGGGGAAAGCTCTCAGTTTTTCCCCGTTGAGGATGATGTTAGCTGAAGGCTTCTCATAGATGGCTTTGATGATGTTTAAGTAGGTTCCTTCTATCCCAACTTTCTCGAGAGTCTTTATTAAGAAGGGATGCTGTATTTTGTCAAATGCTTTTTCTGCATCTATTGACAGGATCATATGGTTTTTATCTTTTCTTTTATTGATATGATGGATCACATTGATTGATTTGCGAATGTTGAACCAGCCCTGTAACCCAGGAATGAATCCCACTTGATCTTGGTGGATGATTCTTTTGATATGCTGCTGGATTCGATTTGCAAGGATCTTGTTGAGAATTTTTGCATCCGTATTCATCAAGGATATTGGCCTATAGTTCTCTTTTTTTGCTGGATCTCTGTCTGGCTTGGGAATCAGAGTGATGCTGACAAGCCCAGCATTTAAAGGGACCACGTTTTTGAGATCCAAACTTTGCAGAGCCAAAATTTATAGGGCCACACTTTCTAGGTTCAAAAGCTGCAGGGTCTGATAAAAGCAGCCCATATTCACAAGATCCCATTCTTCTAGAAGCTGCAGAAACTGGCTTCGGAAATAAGATGAAGCTCTTTCCACACTGGATTAATCCCGAGGTGAAAGGTCAAGGGCATAAGGAATCCATTCTCTCTAAGGATGAGATAGTGGCTAAAACCATGACCAAAAAGGTTGAGAAGAGTCCACCCTCCATGAAACACCCTATGAGAGGAGCCAAGTTGGAGAAGAAAACAGAAGAGGAGGGCATAACCTTCTTTGATGCCCCCCAGTCTCTGGACAATGAACTCAAGCAACAATCCCTTCAGTCCAGAGGCTCCTGGGTCCTGGGCCTTCCCCACAACAACTCCAAGCACTGTCCTCAGGTGACTGGTATTACTCAACCAGAACATCCATGCCAGATCTCAGCTCTCACCTCAGCAGAAGGCACTGGTCTATACAAAGAGAATACCCAATCCAGGAAAAAGGAGTTCATAGGTTCCTAATCCTCTACATTCCCATGAAAAAGGCTGTTGTCATCATTTCTGTTAATGTGCAGGTGAAGCAGGACCCTCTCAAAATATACTCTGTACCTCTAAGCAAAGAACCACCTGTTTGTGCCTCATTTTCAAGGTTGTATATGATGTAGAAAGTAGAGAAGGTAGATAGTACTTCCTATATGGCTTAGGAGCTTAAACTCCTATTTCAAAGAGGTCAGCATTACACACAACTCTTTCAGTCCCACCCTAGACTATGGATAGAGGGACTTGAGCAGAAAGGAAGACCCTTTTCTAAGGTGCATTGAAGATGCATCAGGTTTGAATTCTATCATGTCTTGCCATGGCATCTATGGGCCCCAGAGAAACAGTGTGGGCATGATGATAGTGTAAGCAGTAGCCAGGAATCTAGTGCATTTTTGGCCCATAGGCATAATTCACCAATAACTTCTATATATGCCCACAATCTGAAGGGAATGTTTTTAGAGTGTCATAGTGCTCCATCCTTGATAAACACAAAAGCATATAGATACTATGACATGTGCCAGAACCAAATCATGGAATCTCCCTTCCTTGTGACCTGCTGTTATCGATTAAATCTCTAAGGGCTAACCCATCCGGGAGTCTGCTGTAGCCTGTTGCCAGTTTGACTCTCATTGCTTTCAGCTGGATGGGATAAATGCCTGCTAGAATGAAGATCAGTTGATGAGAAGGTTCCCAAAAGGGTTACAATAAAAATGACTTTGACCTGAGTCTTGCAGTCAACAGTTCAAATATTCACCTCCTTACTATGTGCCAGGTACTATGCCAAATACAAGGCCTACCTCCATTGAGCTCATGGAATCATGGAGTAGACAGTCAAATAAAAAGTCACTAAAAGCAGTGTGATAAAACTGGTTAGAGGAAGTAGATGAAAATACCCAGGAGGGAACTTAACCTAATTTGGCAGGAGGAGGGGGTTTATGGAAATTTTCCTAGAAGAGGTGATATGTAGACTGAATTTCAAAGGATAAGAAGAAATTAGCCAGGAAGGAGATGGGAGTCTCTGGGTTTCCCATGCTAAGAGTACAAAATGAGCAGATATATGGTGTCAAACAAATAGGTATGCCGTGTAAGAGAACAGTGACTTGCTGGAGAAGTACCTATAATCAATCAAAGGCACATTAAAATGTTTGAGGGATCAAAATTAGGTTGCCAAGATGGACAATGTATGGCATTCACTCATGCAGTTTTTGATTCCTTCAACTAATATTGAGTACCTACTATATGCCACATACTTTTATAGGCACTAGGTATACAGCAATGAACAAAAGAGGAAAAAACAATCTGTCCTTAATAAGCTTATATTGATAGTACACTAGGAAGGGGGATAAAAGAAACATAATTTAAAAATATAATATGTAGAAGATGACCAAATATATGCAAAAAATCAGGGTAAGAGGTTTGGAGAAGACTTAGGTGGAGTGCAGTTTTTTTTTTTAACTTAATTTTTTTTTATTTTTTTTTTTTTTACAAATAGTTTATTGTCAAATTAGTTTCCACATAACACTCAGTGCTCATCCCCATAAGTGTCCTCCTCACACTTATGGGTTTTAAGTAGGGAGTTCAGGGCAGGTCTCACTAAAAAGTAGTGTGGGCATGGACTAGAGAGAGATGAGAGAATGAATCACTTGAATAACTGAGGAAATTTCATGTCAGAAACATGAACTGTCTGGAGATGGAACATGCTTTAGCTATTCCAAAGAAGGACAGTGAGCCTGAAGCAGAGTAATCAAGGGGGAAAGTAATAGAGGACAAGGTCAGAGCAGTAAAGGGACAAAATAGGGTAAGGCCTAGAAGATCATTGCAAAGATACTAACTTTTTGAGTAAATGGAAGTTGCTGTTAGAAGGTCTGCTTAGATCCAACTAATGTTTTATTTTATTTAATTTTTCAATATAAAATGATTGTATTTCTATTATACACAATGAAATAGAAATTAAAATTTCAAAAATACCATTTTCAATAGCATCAAAGTATGGAAATACTTAAGGATAAATCTGACAAATAATGTGCAAGAACATTGAAAACCAAAAAACATAGCTGAAAGAAATTAAAGAATTAAATAGATGGAGAGATATACCTTGCTCCTAGATTGAAAGACTCAGTGATGTTAAGACTGTAATGTTAAGATGCTGTAATTCTCCCCAAATTGATCTGTAGATTTAATGCAATCTCAAGTATAAATCGGGAGGCTTTCCCTCCCCCCCTATATATACACATGATTTTATTAAGTTTTTCATAGTTGAATTTTTCTACAATTCTAAAGCAATTAAAAATGTTAATAATATTTAAAGCAGGTGTACAAATATTCACAACATTGTATAAGTTAAATATGTTATTTATGTCAGCACCAGTACTTATTATACTTTTAATTATCCAGGTTTAATTGAAGCAAAAAACAAAAAACATATTTTTAAAAAGTATAATTCTTTTGTTGTTGTTGTTGCAAATTTTTTTAGTTTATTTTTTTTACAAATAGTTTATTGTCAACTTGGTTTCCATATAACACCCAGTGCTCATCCCCACAAGTGCCCTCCTCCATGCCCATCTCCACCCACCCCGCCACACCCATCAGTCCTCAGTTTGTTCTCAGTATTCAAGCGTCTTTCATGGTTTGCCTCTCTCCCTCTCCCCCACTATTTTCCCCCTTTTTCTCCCCCTTGGTCCTCCGTTAAGTTCCTCCTAATCCTCCTATACGTGCAAACATATGGTATTTGTACTTCTCTGCCTGACTTATTTCGCTCAGCATAACACCCACAAGGTCCATCCACGTTGCTACACATGGCCAGATTTCACTGTTTCTCATTGCCATGTAGTATTCCATGGTACAGATAAACCACATCTTCTTGATCCATTCTTCTGTTGATGGACACTTAGGCTCTTTCCGTGTTTTGGCTATTGTTGAGAGTACTGCTATGAACATTGGGGTACATGTGCTCCTATGCATCAGCATTTCTGTATCCCTTGGGTAAATTCCTAGCAGTGCTATTGCTGGGTCCTAGGGGAGTTCTATTGTTAGTTTCCTGAGGAACCTCCACACTGTTTTCCAGAGGGGCTGTACCAGTTTACATTCCCACCAACAGTGTAGGAGGGTGCCCGTTTCTCCACATCCTCGCCAGCATCTAGAGTTCTCTGATTTGCTCATTTTAGCCACTCTGACTGG